ACTCATACAGTGAATATTTAATGTTAATTTATTTTGTACTAGTGATCGCTCCGTGGTTGAAAATCAACCATAATTCATTAAGTTTGATCTATATTGATGTTTTTTTCAAAGTTATATAGATAAAATCCATAAAAAAATTCCATAAGAAGATTCAAAGATTTGTGCGTACAGACAAACAAAATTTTCATGTTCATATTATGTACTCGTATGATATTGATGAAAGATAACTAACATCATGCTACATATTTTAGCAGTGAAGTATGTAATTATTTATAAATATATTGTGCGAGCAGATTCGCAAGTAAAAGAAAGTCAATTAATTTTAGCTTTCTGCAGTCCTTCTCTATATAGACTTTTAACTATGTCAAGGCTCATACTCCTCCGTACATGCAATATGGTTAAAAAGGGGTTTAAAGTTTTCTCTTCACTTATTAATATATAGATATATTAAAGACAATACGAGTAGAATATTTTTAATATATTACCTATATAATAATAAAAATTGTATATAAATATTATGTTCATATAAATAAATAATAAGAAAATATAATTTATGTTTATATGTTTGTATAATCTATACATGGAGTATTCCACGCCAAATCGGACGGTTTTAAAATAAAATATTTTTGATTTTCTTAATATTTTGGAAGGTGTTTTCTTTGTATGACGTAGGCATCCGATAAGAAAGGATTTTCCGAAATTCTACCCCTTAGGTGGTGAAAAAGGGGGTTAAAAATACTTATTTACACTCAAATTCAGCAATAGCTCTCTCACCATTTGCCCGGACAAGGCGAGGAATGCACAATAACTGTTTTTATCTATTGAAAACGTAGATAGGGACGTACCCGAGCAAAGCGAGGGTGAGTCGCTAGTTCGATATAAATAAAAAAAATCTCACTCATTTTCCACAGTTCTGTTTTGTTTTTATACTTATAAGAACAAACTTATTAACAAACACGTAGTAATAAGATTACTAATAACGCTGTATGTAGTTGTTTTTGTGTTCATGTAGTGTCTTGAAATAGGTGAAGGATCCACATCTGTTCTTGTTCTTCAAATAGAGGGTTCAAATAATAAAGATGTTCCGGTTTATTCTTCTATAATCCATTTTAGTTTCTGTTAAATTAAAGCTCGCCAAAGGATCTCTTTTGTATTTTAGGTATACCTACATTCTATCTGACAACATTATACACAAATAAAAAATATATATAACTATAAAAATATTTCTTGCACAAGTAAAAATTGTGATTATTTCAAAACTATAAACTTCATATCAGTCCATAAGCATGAAGAATAAATTAATCCTATATTATATATATATATATATATATATATATATATATATATATATATATATATATATTTACTTAGATATATATTTTCAAGTTCTGATTTCATTATTTTGAAATAAAACAAATACTGAGTGTTAAGTGAAGTATTGAAGCTTACCACAATATTTGCATTAGTGAAAACTGCACCCACATCGGTTGAGCGGTGCTAGGCTTAGCACGCACAAACGCACAAACAGACAAAAATTCTAAAAATCATTATTTTGGGTGCTATTCCGTAGATAAAGACCCCCAATAACAGTTTTTCTTAACTATCATCCATGTACAGGTAGCGATCAGTTACAATTTTATTATACATATATATAGATTATAAAATTTGCACCTACAGAAGTCGCAGTATCTCTACATAAGAGACTTTCTCTCTAGAAATGTTATTTTAGTCAAACATAATACTGAATAATATGTTATTATGTAATATATGTAAACATTTGTAATTTTATGTATATTTTAATTATTGAATTATTGCATGCTGTAACGATGAATTTGGCTGAACATTAAATATATTATTAACAAAATTGAAGTGTATGTACTAACTCAAGTTCGTCTTTGGTTAAGTAATTAAAGCCTACCTATTAAATACATACCTAATCAAATATTTTCGAAATCGGTGCCAGCCCATACAAAGCAAAGCACACCGACTTCGAAAATATTTGATTAGGTATGTATAGTAAATGAAAACTACCAATCAGTTATTTTTTACTTTTTAGTGCTTTTGTTTGAAGTCGGTTTTTATTTTTTTGTTAAAAAGTTTTTATTTTAGAAAATTTTGGAGTTGCTCAGGTTGAAAATTCTCAAAAATTCAGAAAAAAATTCATAGCTCATAAACAATGAAAAGTCGCGTAACATACATGAGGGTGATTCGGATACCCTACGATACGAGGGACCTAAATTTTAGGTTTTGTGTCGACGTTCCGATCATCCTGTATATTATACAGTCAGTACGATCAATCTTTGGCCTTTGCTAATGAATGACCTTTGTTAATTGAGAATTTAAAACTTGGCTTAATTTAAATAGTATTAAAGCTAACTTATGGCGATTTATTAAATTAAAGGGATTTTCTGAAATGCGTTATTTGGATTATTTGCATAAATGATTATTATCATAAATATTCAAATTACCTTGTTAAATGGATTTTAAGCCGAATTTCTTTCTTTTACCTTATTATTCAATAAGGATAGCCTGACTTGCTACTTTCAGCTTTTGTGCTTCAGAATTTATTTCCCAAAACAATTTCGTAATTAATTGGTACAAAATCAGCTTAAATTTTTAACACGATTTAATATATAAAAACTACTTTGTTTATAGCTTTTACATCATAATATAGATATAATAAAATAATTAGATTTGTAGTGACCAAGTGTAAAGAAAAATGGTGTAACATACGCAGCTGCTCCAGGAGTCTAAAACCAAGTGAAAAAAACAAAGAAACCATATTATCTGGCTCCTTACCTTCAATTCATTTTACCGTTTATAAAACCCCTTAACTGCTTAGAACAGAAGGAAGATACACAAAATTCCAACAGTCGTGACGAAGTCTATATCCTCATTTGTTCGGTTAAATCTGAAGAAGAATCATTAGCTGTGGCCGAAACACCATTTATAGAACAACTTTCTAGCGACAAACTTTCGCACATAAAGAAGTTCTCGTACAGATAGCACCACTCTTCGATAAATTTTACTAAATTGCTAATAGTATGTACATAGTGTGATGTTCTCCTGGCCGATTCCGGCTACGGCGGCCAATGTCATTGAGACTAGCCAACTACGCAGGAGATATTATAGTGCACAAGTGCACGCGCAGACACAAGTGCACTCTCTATTCCTGTCACTCTCATACTCCGGTGGGACGACTATTCGACACGACCAGTGAGAGTTAAGGCGCAGGACCGACGGCTTAGCGCGCTCTCCGAGGCACGGGGGTGAAACACCGCTAATTTCCCAACTCCGGGCTGTTGCTGAGACTTACTATACAGAAAGACTCAATAACTAAACTTGGCCCGAGCCAGGACTCGAACCCAGGATCTCCGGGTGTGCAGCCGTACATGCTAGCCCCTACAGTAATAGTGAACTAAATTTCATCTAAATCTCTTCAGCCGTTTTAGCGTCAAAGGTCGAAAGGAAACCATAATACACAGATATGCAAACTTCATTTTTCATTTCTCGGGTGATTAATGGGTTGTAAAAATAAAGAGCAAGACTTTTTAAAAACATATTTAATTTAGCTTTACGGACAAGAAGGTACAGGTAAAAATCACAAAAGATACACATGATGTTATGATATTATAACAGGATATAAAGGACACGATATATATGTATTTGATATTACAAGATTATTCTATACATAATCTTTTCTTAGATATTCTTATGTACATAAAATCATAAAATGGCTAAGCGGGTTAATAACAAGAGTATAAAAATTAAATTTATTTGTAAGAGTAAAATATAATATTATACGTACATTTTTTTTTAACTAACTTCTCTAGCTTTCACACAATTTAGTTAACAGTGATATTCGAATGAAACAAATAATTTTAGTAGTTACTGCATTTAACGAAATAGTTCAAATTGGAGTTTTAAACATTTTGATGTTGCAAACTTTTTAAAATTAAAGGCTTTATTTGATTCTTGAATATAAATATTTATAGTAAAGTATAATTATTATAAACTGTAAAATCAGTAGACAGTGATTAACATCAACGTTAAGCAGGTTCATGTTATAGAATATCAAAAATAAAAAACTGCTTTGTGACCTAAATATTTTTTTGGTAAAACGTAAATTTGTACATAATATTATTTTTATTAATTTTGCTAAAATCAATTAAATTAATAAAAAAACTGGTTATTTAATTTCAAAAGTCATTGTAATATTTAAACAACTTGTATCCAGAATATGTTATTTTCTGTAAACATTTAATATCAATTAATTGTATTAATAATCAATTCTCTTCGAGTATCATATAAGTTAAAATATAAATTATCTTGAATAAATCCTAAATACATCGAGCAATTTCATTGGGAATATATTTAAGCGTTTTAAACATCAAATCCAAAGGAGAGAACAATTTTGGTCCCTTTTCAACAATTTATATTTTTAAACTCTGAATTCACAACGAAATTTTAATATAATGGATACACAAACAACTTTAAAATAGTTAACGTATAAAGCAATCGAAACTATTCGTGAACAGCTAAAACAAATCAGTGAATATACATTTCCAAGCATAATCTTAGGTCATATTATATTATAAATATTACATTTATTTTAAAACAAAGCAACGATTTTTGTTAATTACGTAAATATCTTAATATTGTAAAAACATTACTGATCGATCCTCATTTTGTGGGTCACCGATATGACAAAAACTCCAAGAGATTTCTAAACATTGTATCACAGTCTAAAAACTATACAGACAAAGATATGGGCAAGAATTACTTTGGAGGCTCCGTAAACATTCTGAATGATTTACACAGTTTTTCATGGTGGATCATCCATGCAAGAACATAGAAACCAAGAATTCCATGAATTTCTACTAATGGGGTTTCGCTATTGCATCTATCGGCAAGTCGACAATGGCCGCTTGAATCCGATTTTTAGCACCTGACCGAATGTCGTATCTCATATTTTATACCTAGCATTTACGTCACTATCACTGTATTACACATGATCGTTTATCATTTTGCGTATTAGAACGGACTAATCTATTTAAATTTATCTTGGGGCTACCGGTGACGCTATCTCCATCCCCTTTGGCACAAGTTTTGGTACGCATTATCATTAAATCAGTACGAATGCTAGGTCTCCGAACATTAGGTGCGACAACCCCACAAGCGTCGGATAGCCGTCTTTTTATCGACAGAGTGCATTTTTTACTTCGACTACTTTGACTACTAGTGGGAGGTAAGGTGCAGGGACTACCAAAGGCGGTGCTGACTCGTTTGTGATGATTAGGAGCCATTTCTAAAGGTAAATTAGCTACAACAAAAAGTTCATAGAAAAGGTCGTCTACATGGAAGTTCCTCTTGGCTGATGTCTCCACGAATACGCAAGCGGAATCTTGTGTTGCACAATATGCGCTCGCCTCTTCAGGTTGTACAGTCCTAAGTAAATAATAACATTTATGTATTAGCAATTCTTTATACATAATAGCTATTTTTTATAATATACCTACCTAATGGATGACATATAGAAGTTGCAACTGATTACGAAATTTTTCGTTAAACAAATCATCAAATTAAAATACACGTACCTATTATAAAAATAGTCTTCTAAGACAGTTTTCAATTTCTAAAATCTGTAAAACGAAACTGTCGTCGAAAATAAACCTAAAAACGAGAAAAAGATTTTTATTCGCCCCCAAAATAATTTAAATCCCCAAACTTTGTTAATACAATGTCCTTCGACCTAAGAGCCTTATCTTATTTATGAATCATAACACAAAATTTATAGACGCTTTAGTATAGTCATCTATCATGTCTACTCTATTGTAGTACGCAATAAATTACATCTATCCATCTCCGTCGGGCGTCTCGTGATATTCTTGAGACTTGCTACGTACTAAAAACTGTTGCAGTTAAAGTATATCTAATTTCATTAAACTTTGTCGGTCGCCTGCAACGTGCTATTACTATCGCATAAAATGCTACAATGTAAATTTTTCCAGACGCTTTTATAGAATTTATTTATATTTTTTAAATATAAATAAATTTATATAATATGAATTTATTTATATTTTTAAAGTATAAATAAATAAATTTTATTTCAATGTATAATAATGCATTCCCAATAAAATTAAGAGGTCACAAGGCTAATTCACGATTGATAACTTTCCCAACGCTAACTAAACACAAGAGTGATCAGTCAATATTTTCTTATAATTAAAAAACATAAAGAAACTTATAATAATCAGACAAAATTTCTTTGAAATCAAAAAAATTTAAAAAGTAAGTATTAGTACAAGTAGTACTTGCGACACTTACTTTAAGTCTCTGTCACACTTATTGCCAGCTATCGCCATGGGAACCCGCGGTGCTTGCTTTCTGCCTCGGCTACTCCCACTGCTTGCACTAGCCTTAGTCTCCAGGATCTGTTCACGGAGACGTATAACCTCATCGAAGGACTCTCGACAGTCCATTGCAAATACCAGTACGAATAGATCACCTGGAACAAACGTTAAGGATAGCATTCTTTTCCTTCTTTTAACGTAGTAAAAAAACAGAGGCGTTCTCAAATCGACTGCATATTTCTTTTATATATATATACTAGCATTGCCCCCGGCTCTGTCCGCGTTCAGAGACCAAAAACCAAATTCTTAGGTTTTACATATTAGTATACTCTTACATTGCAGTTTTTGTATTTTTTCTCAGAAATGAAACATTTTCCCGCGGTAAAAACTATCCTATATGTTGACCAGGATAACCAGCTATCACCATACTAAATTTCATCAAAATCCCTCCAGTAGGTCTTCCGTGATGTGGTAACAGACAGACAGACAGACAAAAAATCTAAAAACTATATATTCGGCCTCTGTATCGATAATAATGTCTATTTCAATAAGATTTTCCAAAAAATATTCAATGTACAGATTCGGCTTAGTTACAATTTTATTATATGTATAGATAGATATACGAGTATACCACACGTAGTTTTAATAGAGCAGTTTATTTTTAATGATTTTTTTAATTGGATAGGGTTATACTCTTTGAATTATCCTTCGGAATTAGTCTCTTCAAATTTAATAAAAACTTTTTAACAAAAAAATAAAAACCGACTTCAAACAAAAGCACTAAGAAGTTAAAAATAACTGATTGGTAGTTTTCATTTACTATACATACCTAATCAAATATTTTCGAAGTCGGTGTGCTTTGCTTTGTATGGGCTGGCACCGATTTCGAAAATATTTGATTAGGTATGTATTTAATAGGTAGGCTTTAATTACTTAGCCAAAGCACACCGACTTCGAAAATATTTGATTAGGTATGTATAGTAAATGAAAACTACCAATCAGTTATTTTTAACTTCTTAGTGCTTTTGTTTGAAGTCGGTTTTTATTTTTTTGTTAAAAAGTTTTTATTTTTCCCTTTTTAGTGTAGACAGTAGTAGCAAAGTAAAAATTCTAACGTGTTAGGCTTGTCAAATCAAACAAAATAAGCCCAAACTCAAAGTATCTACTATTAGCCGTTGAAGAGTTGCACCTATCCACCTTCTGGCCTTGCCATCAGATCAGGTCAACAACACCGAACCACTGTACTATCAACGGAAATAGAAATACTTGCAAAGTTTCAAGTCAATATGACAATTAAAAGTAGGTTAAATTCATCATTACTTGTTTTTCCACCCTTAGGGGTGGTATTTTTTTTTGAAATTTAAATGGGACCAATCTGGAAGTATACCCTTTCAAACAAAACAAAAATTGTCCAAATCGGTTAATAAATGACGGAGTTCTGAGGTAACAAACATAAAAAAAAAAAAAAAAAAAAAAAAAAAAACATACAGTCGAATTGAGAACCTCCTCCTTTTTGAAGTCGGTTGAAAAGAAAATACACTCTTAATGGTACATAAAAAGGGTTGACTGATTGATCAACCGCTAAATCTTCCCTTGTTAACCAATTCTTTTGAAATTTGGCACTCATATATAGTTTTTATGGTCTAATAACGAAGACAGAATATCATCGTGGGATCCTCAACGGTTTACAACAGCTGCGGCGTGTTTGGCATACCCGAAGCGTATGTGGTTTTATAATATATACAAAAATAAGTAAGTATTAGGTACTACTTTATTAATACAATAAATAGATATACCATTTGAAGATCGAAAGAAAATATATATAAACAAAAATGAATGTTGGTACGCGTATAACTCGAGAATGGCTGGACCAATTCGGCAAAAATTTTTTTCGTATGTTCTTCAAGGTCCATGGAAGATTTTAATAAAGAGAAAAAATGAAAAGTTAACAGAAAAAATTAAAATTTATATGGCTGGCTAATAACTATTTATATCTATTTAAAACGTACCTAGCCCGAGCGAAGTGAGGGTGAGCCGCTAGTAAAAAATATAAGTAAATTTGTATTTCTATTCCGCCAGAATTATTTTGAATCGCTCAACATTGTACGTACACGCAATAAATACTACTAAGTTCTTTTCCATAACAAACTTAAACCTCTTAAAAGCTATAAATATTAAAGTATCATCGTTAATATCATATAAAACTGCATTCAGCCAACGCCTCCGTGTAATCATAGGTCGTAAACTATCTTACAAACTAATAGGTAAGTTATCTTAGCACTAAATTTCTTCATAATGGGACATGTTACGCTAGATTGCATGCAAAACAACCTCCCCGGTCTTTCTCACCGTGGGCCTTTATACCGTCGCGCTGGTTTATGTCCCGGTAATGTCACAACCGTGTACCTAAAAATGAACGCTAAAATGCACTTCAAAATATTGTGAATTATATCCTTTCTGACTCTGTCCTTTTGGACAAAAACCTTTTTGTGGCACCACTACAAAAGTCATATAAAGTCTGGTACGTGCTTACTACAGATACGTGAACGTGATAAAATAATGAAGAGTTCGTTATAGCTGCGTAAATCTCTTTCTTGAAATTAAGGAGAGAAAATATTTTATATTTTTGCGCGTCTTCAAATTGGTGCTCAATTCTAATGTATGTTCTTTTGTATGTATGTATGTGATGTCTTCCTCAATTTCGAACTTATTTATATGATTATTTTTTATATTGAATATATAACTTATCAATAAATACACATATATTTCACCTTTAAAATGCAATAATCAAGTAAATATACACCTCTAGGGTGCAACAGTCACTTTTGAACTGATTAAAAATCGACGTACGTCTTCTATACATATCATAAAATTCTAATCTCACCCTCGCTCTGCGCAGATTCGTCCCTAGTTACATTTTAAGGTTTTTGTATAGTTTACTCGGATCCCGGATATCCAGCTATCATCATACCAAATTTCATCAAAATCTGTACAGTGGTTTTCTCTTGCTATGTTCCCAGACAGCAGACAAAAATTTTGAGAGCTATATATTCGGCCACTGTATCAATAATAATGACTATTTCAATAAGATTAAAAAAAAGTAATGTACCTACCTACAGATTCTACTCATATGTATAATATTCATACGATTATTTAATTACTATTCCATTTTAAAAGTATAATTATAAGAGTAAATTGAAGCTAATAACAATATATAATTAATAAAGCTTCCAAAACATTTAACGCTTTACAAATAAAACATAAAAGGCCATGTTACATGTCACGCTACACTGAATACAAACAATTTCCTCCATTTTTGATCTTCTGTCAACTGTATATTTTTGTTTACATCGTCCATATTCACATAATATACTCGTAATGTTGCTACTCCCTGCCATGCACTTAACTAATCATTAAACTGTATCGTATTCAGATATGTATAGCTCTCTCTATATCTTTATGACTTAGCTAAACCGTACACTTGTCTGTATATCATAAGACTTTAGTTTGCTTCTAGCTATATATTTTACTAGCGTTGCCCGCGGCTCCGCCCGCGTTCAGATGACTTTTGTATTTTTTCTCAGAAATTAGACATTTTTCCGCGTTAAATAGTATCCTATATGTTGACCCGGATAACCAGCTATCACTATACTAAATTTCATCAAAATCTGTCCAGTAGTTTTGTCGTGATGCGATAACAGACAGACAGACAGCCAAACATTCTAAAAACTATAGATTTGGCCTCTGTATCGATTATAAAGTCTATTTCAATAAGATTTTCCAATAAATATTTAACATACACATTCGACTCAGAATTTTATTATATGTATTGTATAGATATCTAATAAGTATAAGAAGTTAGCAAAGAACCAAGTCTAACTTACATTTGTTTATCTATACATAATAATAAAGACAAAAGAGCATTATTTATAAGTGAGACTGTGAAAATATCCAATGTTATTAATTATAATTAAACGAGGCAAAAATATAGGATGTGTTTATTTATCAAAAACAACGTGAGGCTTGAACAATTAATTTTTTTCACTAATCCCTATAGTATCAGATTTCATTAACGCTAAAATCGCCATTAATTGAATGTGATACTAAAAATATACCTTTTTCGATATACTGTTTCATATAATATTCGGTCCTTTTTGATGTGATGAAGAGTTCAAGCAATTGCCGCTGGCGTGTTGGCGGACTTCTTATATTTTTGAAAACTATGTACTTAGGTTCTCTTAAACGCACTGTTTACTTTACGATATTTTTCTTCACCGTAAGACAAGTGATAATACCAGATATGAGATATTGTGCAACAGTGAGAGAGTTCACTGAGCTACCACTGCTGGTAGAGTACTTCATCGAATTGTAATTAATATAGATAATAATGTCTGTTTGTCGACAGACACAGACATATGAACGCATCACGAGAAAACCATTGGACAGATTTTGATAAAATTTGTTATGATGATAGCTGGTTATCCGGGTCAACATAAAGGATACTTTTTATTGCGGGAAAATATCTCATCTCTGAGAAATCTATACTAAACGTTAAAACGTAATGAGGATGAGTCCCTAGTACTTTAATATAAATATTTCCAATCTTTCCTATCTCGAGTTTTATTATAGTATATAAGTAACGCAACACTCAGCAATTAGCGAGATAAAGCTTTGTTCCAGACTTGAAATAGAGCAACTTTATCATATTATCCAGAAATAAGTTAGCTATAATCGTATTTTATGAAAGATATTGTATCAGCTTATTTTTATCGCGTATTTTATATTTAATAAGTTATTTATTTAGAACACTTTTAGTAAATAAATGATAAACATTATAAACATATTACTTAGTAAACAATAACATTACGTAGTAATTTTACGACTAAAGTCGACTACACGTCTCTTACTGCTTACACGTACTTATAAATACCCGGCTCCAATATGATATTCTCCTGACCGATTCCGGCCACGGCGGCCAATCTCATTGAGAGTAGCCAACTGCGCAGGAGATATTATAGTGCACAAGTGTACGCACAGACACAAGTGCACTCTCTTCTCCTGTCACTCTCATACTCTGGTGGGACGACCACTCAATATGACCAGTGAGAGTTAAGGCTCAGGACCGACGGCTTTTACGTGCTCTCGTGGGGGTGAA